CATTGCAGGGACCTATACTTTCCTGTAGGTTCTCAGGGGCTTGCTGAACTGGTCTAAGAGTGAGCGGGTCACTGTGGCCCCCTCACACTACAGGCGGTGCTGAGTCATAGGGGAGCAACACAACCCGAAGTCTGAGGACATTTAGTCCAAAAGTGTGCAGGTGACAGCAAGCAATATAGCTGATGAATGGCATTGTTCCACGGCATTGTCTTCTAACCTACCCTGGCAGTCAGGGTCCCGGAGAGAAACAGAGGGCTCATTCAAATGGGGGCCTCTGGAGAGGCTACTGAAAGGTGGCATTTGGGTCAAGAAAACCAAACCTTGGTGAGCAGATATCACCCCTGGGCTTGAAGCAGCACTGGGGAGGGGTGACTCCCACCAGACAGAAAAAATGATTGTGTCACTCTCGGGCCAGCAGGGGGCCTGACTGGCCATCAGTACCCTGACCTCACTCTCCTGTGCCTCAGTTTCCAGCTCCTGAACCCGCCAGACTGTGGGCGCAAAGAAGCCACTGATGCCACCTTCAGTGACCTACTTTCCCAGGACTCTCCACAGAGCAGGGTGGGAAAGGGGGGAGAAGGGGTCTAGAGGGCAGATGGGAAATGTCTAACCCACATACTGGCTACTTTATTTTTAAATACTCATTTCCTACCGTTGACCTTCCCCCACTGGAACATAAGCTCCCAGAGGGCAGGGATTTTAGCCGGTCTGTCCTCTCCCAAGTACCTGCACACAACTCAGGCACTTAGAGTATTTGTTGAAAGGCTGAATAGAAGCAAAGAAGAAAAAACATCTGCCCAGTATTTAACAGCAAGTAAGTAATAAGACAAGCAGCATTTTATATAAGGTAAAAATAGTTCTTAACAGGGTGTTTCCCTACGGTAAACTGGTTCTTATTTTGGCCATTCTGCCCAAAGCAAAATATAGCCAACATACATAAGAAGGAAAATATGGTGGGGTATAAGATTTGCTGAAAAGATTATATTTATGCTTTGCTTGGAGTGAAGAAAAGTTTTGGGAAGCGGACCGAAGAATTTTAAATTGCCTTAAAGAAACACAAGAAATACATCTTTCCCCTAACTTTCAGACCTGTGGTCTAGGAAAGAGGGGACAGTTGCCAGAATTCTTAAAGAAACTCAGTGTTAAACAGTGAAAAGATGTCAGGTTGTGGGTTTCTTTGCCACGGGAGGCTTTAGAGACCAACATTGTCTGGATTTGATGACAGGTAATGACATTAACTAATTACAAAACTAATCACATTTGGAGCGGTGGAAGCTGAGATCATGATAAGCATAATCAAATCCCTGACTTCAGGGCTTCGGGAATCAGAGGATAAGTTTTCTCCCCTCGCAAAGCTTGACCAGATGCCTCTTGGAGGAGGCCTTTGTCTGAGTATTTTGGAAGATACTGATGTGAGTCGGAACCAGTATTCTGGATCGCAAAGCCCCAGTGGCTCGACTGGCACTAAGCGAGCGCCCTACAGGGATGCCGTGTGTGTCCCCACTGGCTGAAGGGGAGACTTGTCCACCCCGTCATTAACAGGAGCTCCATCAAGGTAAGGGGATGACCGGTTGGGTCACCGTGGACAAATTCCAATCCGTGGGAGTCCTGGTGTCTTCCTCCACAAAGCAGAGGTTAAAATAGCAATCACCTTTGCCTCTGCAAATTGCCATGAGAATCCAGCAAAAGAGTTTACTCTGCGGATTATAAGCTGTTTTAAACATAACAAGTATTGCTAGCATTAATCCAAATGACGGGCCTGAATCTCTATTATGTGAATATCTCAATCATCAGTAAGGTGGAGAATCTTTAAAATAAAGAAGCGGACCGCCTTCTGGTGGCAGGAAGGCCTCCACCACTCTCTCGCGCCCCTCTTGCTCTCTCTGGCCCCGTGGGAGGAAAGGGAAGAGGCGGGCCTCCATCAAAGCATTTCCAGCCCTCTAAGGAGACAACAGAGCAGTGGCCCTGGTCATTCTTCTCATCTGGTAACATTCCTTAAGCCCCAGTGTAAAACTTGAAAGGAAATGAAATCCTAAATGCAAACACTATCTCTCCGTCTCCTGGAAAACGTTCTACCTCTATGTTCCCTCTCCTACCAATTCACTCACCCTCAGTTAAAGCCGCCCTTTGAGTTAAACCTCACTTTTCAGAAACCAAGACATCACTTAAGAAAGAGAAAAACATTAAGAGATCCAGATTTCAATTAACTTTGCCATTGATTTTTGCGTAATTCTGGGGGAGGCATTATTCTTTTTGGTAAAGCAGGGGCAAAGAACTCTGAGATGAATGGAGGCTCTGATGACGCCAGCAGACTAAAACACACGAAGTCCCGATCCCCAGGCCCGGCTGACCAGCAAAAATATTCAGAAAATGGCCCAGAAGAGAGACCTGCCGAGTTGCCCATAACAATGGAGACTCTGACACTCTGGTAAAAAGCTTTCAGCAAATAGCCTTTCCTTGCATATTTCCAGTTTCATGTAATTTATGTTTGATGTTCTCACAACGGTGCGATTTTTCTAACCAATCAATAAAACAGATGATCCAACCTTGCTCTTTTCAAAGCTGCAACTGTTTGGTAATTGTGGAATACACACCGATCATAACAGGAGACCACTGGGTTCACACTGCTCACACCTGTGAACACACATGTGCACGCGCTACATAAATACAATAGAGTAAACCACTGATACAGATATAATTTTTAATGTGTTGTGTCATTGAATGTCTATGAGAGGGAAAAAAGTCTGTGAAAATAGATTTAAAACAACAGGCAGTTTAATCAGATAAGTACACAGCATTTATCTCTGTCCTCTAGAAATATGATTTCGGCATAATGAATGAAGGGAAGGAGCTCACTGGAATACAGTCCTTCTGAGCAACAGAGTGAAACCAAACATCATGGAGAACCCATTCCCAGGGGGGCACAAGGGGGGTTTGCTGGGATGAGGAGCAAGGCATCATCATCCGCCAAAGCAGGGAAACTGTTAGACTTGAGCAAAGGAAATACGATGTAACCATAAATGATGCAATTAGGAATTTCATTTTTAAAGGTTTATTCCAACTCTACTTGACTTTCCAATGGGGAGTTCAAGCCTGCGATAGAACTCGGCAATCTCTGGAAGCCCCTACAGGGGTAGAACAGAAGGTTCTCTGCAGTGATACAGAAACCACCTTTCTTGGGGCACCCGGGAGCCTCAGGCAGTTGAGCATCTATCTGACTCCGGATTTTGGCACAAGTCATGATCTCAGGGTCTGGAGACTGAGCCCCACGTTGGGCTCTGTGCTCAGCAGGGAATCTGTTTGGGGTTCTCTCTCCCCCTCTGCCCCTGCTGCATGCATGAAGAAGAAAAAGAAGAAGAAGAGGAGGAGGAAGAAGGAAGAAGGAAGAAGAAGAAGAAGAAGAAAGAAGAAAGAAGAAAGAAGAAAGAAGAAAGAAGAAGAGAATCACCTTTCCAGGAAGTACAAGGGAGTGAACTGAAGCAAACATCCTCCTCTCAAACAAAATGCAGAGTAATACTATTCAGTAGCCACATAGGCAGAGCTATAAACCTGAACTTGCTGCTCTCTGCTCTTGTCGGAAGGAAAGCATTAGATTTACATCTGATGATGTGGCTCTTCCCTAGGGATGCCGAGCGCCTGCGGTCTCCTGGAGAACAAGGGGGCTTCAGGTGAGGAAGCCCGAGCCCGGGGCAGGGCAGATGGCAGCCCAGCAAGCTGATGCTCAGGGACTCACTGACTGTGTGCTATGCACCAGCCGGGTTCCCAGGGCTTCACCCCTCACCCAACCCTGTGAGCAGGTCCTGTCACCCACTGAGTTTTACAGATGATGCAGGGATACCTGAAGTGACTTGCCCAAGGTCACATGGTTACTAGGTGCTGGAGAAGCACTCAACCAGCCAGCCGGCTCTGAGTGAACCGAGTAACCGCAGTGCTGCTGCTGCTCAAATGAGCTGCATTTAATTGAATGGAAAGTTGGAAAAGTGGCAGCCTTGAAAGGAGGCAGGAAACGATTTGGCTTAATTATAATCATCTCCAAAATCAAAACCGATTTGCTGAATTCTCCCCCTCCACCTCACAAGCCGTGCTCGGCAACACTTCCATGAGGACAGAGAGACGAACATCATCTCTCTGTAGCCCCTGCCTGAACCTTCAGGCTGAATCCACCTGCCAGGTGGAATCGGACCCAGCACTGAGAAGCACTTCAGAGACTGTGTGAGATAACCAGGGGCCGTCACAGACGTCAGCTCGAGATGCCGGGAACTCTGAACCCCACCACTCAGCCTTGTGGTGTCACCCTATCCTGGGACCCCCTGGAGGAGCGGAGGCAGGCTGACCCCAGGGCTCACCCAGTGTGACTCATCCATTTCAACCTTGCAGAGGGTTGCTACACCTTATCACAGGGCTGGTGCTAATCTCCATCCACAACTCAGGCATTAAAAAGATAAGTTTTAAAAAAAAGATAAGTTTTTAATAACTTAATATCATGTCTATTTGGAGGCCTCATTCTTCCAAAGTGGCAGAAACTGAGTGGTGGGATGTCCCCTTCACCTAAACCATGGCCACATTCTGGGGATTCTCAGTTCTGAGATGTGGTAGGGGAGAGGGCTGGCAGTGTCTGATGGCAGGCGTCTATGCAGGCATCCTCTGATACTCTGATATGTCACTCAGTCCCCCTTCCTCATCCTCACACATCTTTTGCCCAAGCTGTCCTGGACACCCTTGTGTTCCACCCTCCCAGCGCCTTTCAGGTGTCCAAGAGACCAAGGACAAATCCTCTCCTCCATGCCCCTTCCCCCACCATCATGGGTGCGAAATGTCCCCCAAGACTTGTTCTCTCCACTCTTTAGCTGGGCCCTACAGGTTTCTGCTCCCCCAAGGCTGTAGCAAAACAAAACAATATGCAGGGTAAGCCTTACATCTAGAAGGACTTCACAGAAACCCAACAACAGAGGCATGGCCAAATAGAAATTTATTGTCAGACACAACAAAACAATTGGGCTCAAAGGTGCAGTCAAGGAATGGGGGCAGGCTCTTGCTAGCCTCCAGCCGGGCCCTTGTTTCACAATGGCAGCTGTCCCCTGGGCATCACACGCCGGGCGAGCAGGACAAAGTCCTCCAGGAAAGAAGTGGCTACAATAGACTGTGGCCCATGTTTCACACTGAGCAAGGGAGGCATCTGCCCATTCCAATCTGCAGCATGGTGGGAAGGTGAGCTTTTGGTGTCCTCCATTACAGGAGAAGCCAGTTAGGAGGAGCTTGAGGGTGTCAGCCCAAAGAATCCACCACGACCAGGGAAGACTCGTTTTTTCACTGTCGCTTCCCTCCTGCCGAAACAAGTAGGCACTGGCCTCATTGCTTGGATGAGGGAAAAGTGAAAAGAAAAATACTAGTGGCCAAAGGTTGCTAATGCTTTAGAAGCTATTTCCCACCTCATAGGTTAAAGAGCACTTGGGTCTGGGTAGATGCCCAGAGGAAGTTCAATGCTACCGGCTCCCCTGCAGGACCAGATTCGGTGACCTAGACATCTGAGACCTTCATTCAAACCCCTACACTCCCAGGCTGCATGACGTCAGCCATAGTCTCTGTGCCTCCATCCCCACCCTGGCCTGGTGCAAGAGACCCAGAAGGCACCTGGTGAATGGATATTGGGTAAAGAAAGGCTCAAGTCTGTGAACTGGGAAGGCTGGGTCAGAATGTGGCAGGGGTGATTCCTAACACGTACGATACAAGACCCAGTCGCTGAGGGAGAACCACAGAGGCTGAGCCATTTAACACCAACTGTGTGCTACCCAGCTCCTTCTGGTGGCCTGGAAGGGTCAGTTCAGGGCTCAGTGCACCTGTAGAGGCCCAAGGACCCCCTCCCCCTCGAGTACAGCTTCAAAATCATTTTAACCACTACACAGAACCGCTGACCCTCCTGAGTCTCAACCTTAGGTCTGCTACGCTACAACTTCAGGAAAGTTCTTTCGAACCAAACCTTCACCGTCTATCAGTAAAACAAAGGCTGTAGGGTTACTGTGAAGATGGCAGATAATGGATGTAAAGCCCCTGTCCGCTGGCCTTCTTAACCCATGGTAATAGCTCTTCTTGCAGAAGATGCTGGAGTCTTGGATTGCACCAGGAGCAGAACTCTACCTGCCCACCCGGAGCAGATCTCCTCCAGGCTGGGAGGTGCTCCAGAATTGGGTTTGGTGGGTTGGCTGTTGAGGAAGAAGGATGGTGTAAGGCAGGTTGGCTAACAACACCCTCCATTCTCGCATGGCCAAGTGGTATGGACCTGTAGGAATTCTCACCTGACCTCAATTCTGCATAAAACTGTGGATACTCAGGTGCCACGTGATCTCTAACACAGTAACACCACTTGCAAACAGATTAATTCTTTGGAGCTCTTGGGCCCCCTTAGGACTAACACGTGCTTCCACCCAGTCATCCATACACAAGTGTAAGAAGCGCTATAATCAACGCTGCTTGGTACAACTAAAAATGATATGCTTGGCAAAAAATAAAATAAAATAAAAACAATCTCTGGCTATGTTAAGTGACATAAGAACCAAGGAGGAAAGACCCATAGCCAGAGGAGGGCTGGGTGTGGCCACCAGCCACAGAGAGAAAGCCAGAGTTGAGGAAACAGGACGTGCTCTGCTTGGCAGAGGGGAAAAGGTAAAAACTGTCTTCAGATATTTGGAGAGAGCTTTCATGGGCAAGAATGAGCTTTATTGTATGTGCCTCAAGAAGTAAAACGAGAGCCCCTCGTGGAGTAGTCCATGAAGGCGTGCTTTGACTCAACTGAAGGAAAGGATTTCAGTCACTGCATTTGAAGATGAGACGGGCAACCCTGAGTGGACAGCGAGCTTCAGAAGCTAACGGTCTTTAAGACTGGAGGATGAGAGCTTGCTGAGGAGATCACACCAGACCTGCCTCGTGGGGGCTATGGTGAGAATCAAGATCATTGTTTCCAACCCCCCTATATGCCACCTCTCAGGGGGTGACTCAGGTGGTGACAGGCTCTGGCCTGTCAGCAGCTTGCTTCCCCCAGCTTCCAGGCTTTCCATAGACTTTATTATGCGCAAACCAATGGAGCCCCTCTCATGCCCACTTAGCTGAAAGGAAGCTGGCCCAGCCCTCCCTTCCTGGAGCTTCCCCATTACCCCTGAAGCATGAGACACTCCAGTGAAACTCCATACCCAACTGTGATCAACCCAGAGGTAAGAGGGGAAAGTAGAGCGACGTTAATATCATGAGGAAAACTATTCACCAATCGGAAGTGGCAAACAAATTCTATTATTTGCTTATTGCCATCCTTTCTCTATTAATCTATCCTGACATCTAACCAATTCTGCTCTGGGAGGGCAGTCTCTGTATTCGTTTCCCATGGCTGCTATCACAAATCACCACAAACTTGGTGACTGAAAACAACAGAGATGTATTACTGCAGAAGTCTGCAGGCAGCATGGTGCAGGTGCCAGGGGACGCTCCCATCCTCACCTCTTCCAGCTTCCAGTGACAGCCCACACTCCTTAGTTTGTGACCACATGACTCTAAATCCTACCTCCATGGTCCCCCTGCCCTCTCTTGTGTCACTCCACCTCCACCCATGCCTCCATCTTCTAAAGACATCTGCGACTGGATTTCCAACCTACCCAGATAATCCCAGGCCATCTCTCCATCCCAAGATCCTTAATCACATCTGCAAAGACTTTGGCACAGAAGCTTGCATCCTCAGGTTCTAGGAATTAAGATGCAGACACTTTTTGGAGGGCTGGTGTCTAGCCTACCACCATCCCAAGGACAGAGCAGTAGCTTACGACTCAAGCCAAGTTGGGGCCACATCAATAACGCACCATTGTTATTTGCTCCTTTGGCCTCAGCCTGGCCATCATTCTTCCCAGCTCCCTACTCTGGGACTGAACTCCGCAAAAGAGCGCCTGAGCTTTTCCTACAGTTCTCCTTTCTAGGAAACCCAAAGTAATACCTGTAAGCCATCGAGAACACTGCCCACAGTAGTGGCAGTAACAGTGGCTGGAATAATGCAGTAAGTTCCCAGAGTTTTCAAGGAGATTTCACTTTTTTTTTCCCAGAGCATTGTCTAATCACTTAAAAATAGGCTCTCCACTGAGGAAATGGAGGTCATCTATTTCGGTGAAATTTTACACTGTGTTGAAAGATTTATTTCCCCTCTACAAAACATTTCCAGCACGGTGACAAGGCTTCAGGAGAATACCTGCTAAAAGATTAGAATTAGAAAAGGAAGGGTTTTCCCACAGCAAACAGAAGAAGATTCGCTCAATTACAGGGAAGTTAAATAAATTAGTTAATGCTTACAAATTTCTTACAGATGAAAAGTGTTATCTGTATCACCGCTAAGACCTGCTGTGAATAGGCTTTCTCGGTGCTAAACCAAATTATGTTTCTTAAAACAGCAACGTCCTGGGTCCTGGGAATATCCGAGAAGTAACATGGCTTTATTAATGAATTGCACAATCGGACAGCAGCACCTCCAAATTCAGCTGACTGACTTGTTGTAAGGGAGGCAGAGGAGCTTAAGGCAGAATTTTCTACTGTACCTCTCAGAGGTCTTTGCAGGTGATAATTCTCCGATGGAAGATTCTGGAAGGTCTGCTTGTTTATGAGGCAACTTCACTGGCACCTTTGCTTCAGAGAATCATAGACTTACACTCACAGATAAACCTGGAAAAAAAAAAGTAGCCAACAACACTGAATATGAAGAAAATATTGGCAAGCTTCCCTGTTAAAATAACAAGCGTCAAACACAAAAACTTTCAAGTTTTTCACTTCTCCTACCATGACAAGGCAAATTTAATATTTTGGTGGAAGCTGCTCCCTCCAGACACATTTGATAATCATCATTTCAAAACTTACAGGACACATTGAACAAATACAATCTGAATGAAGGCTGTATTCAGCAGTGTGGTAAGTAAAATAAGTCCACATCTGGTATGTTTAATTTATGCCATTTAATTGGACAATCCGTATTTGAAAATTCCTCTGATATGGTTTCCCTTGGACTTTATTTATATACAAAATACTAACTTGCAAATCCTTGCAATCCAGACCTAGATTGTCTCCATCCTTTAGTTGCTGGTACAATCTGCCATCAACACTTCAGCATCCCTCTTTCTCTTTGCTCTCATGGTATGTACACACACATAAACAGTAACACACACACACACACACTACATAAAACAACATGGCAGGCAACACTGTTGGGTGACAGGATTGCTCTCTCTTTCCCATCCCATCTATTCTCTTGTTCTCCATATCACAAATAAGGGCTAACTCCTTGGGCAGGATGGGGGAAATCAATATCGTTGATATAGATCCAGAATCTATGTTGTTCTGGAGGATTCCAGCCACAGGGGGGCCAAAAACAAAATTACTCTATTTTCCAACTCTTCTTCACACAGCCCTCACTCTCCCTGAGACATTCTGCTCCTTTTACAGTCATAGCAGGCTCTTAAATAATGTTCAGTAATGAATGAGTGAACAAAAAATGAACTAAAGAACTGAGCATTTCTGAAACCGTGGAAGGAAGCGTGATGTAAAGAAGCATATGGTATACTGGAAAAGAATGGTGGCTTAAAGCAGGAGAGCTAGCCTCCAGCTCTTCTGCTGGCTGACTACTTGATCTTGGGTAAGCTGTCTCATTTCTTCACGTGCCAAAGAGAAAACTTATCCTGATGTTTTCATATGTCACAAATATAGCATCTGATGGTTTAGAGAACACTTGGGACTCATGTTCTCTTACTTGATCCATCCAACTACCAACTGGTGACAAAGGATGCCCATCTTTTGTCATGGAAGCAGACGTCCACAATGTTGACCATAAGGTCTTAAAGTAGTAAATCGTGGTGCGCTCCAAGTCAGAAGTCTTGGCACCTTCTCCTCTGTATAGTTGACAAAAGAAGACCCGAGCCACAACACAACCAGCGACTTCCACTGAGACAGTAATAGCAGAGCCTCTTTCTCACACCATGATCTCCTGCACCTGATCTGCCTCACCTCCTCCTGTCTATACACCAGTCCTGAACACCCATTACGTAAGTACATTACCAAAAGCCCTCAGCATCTCACCAAATGTGGACTGTCATCGAAATTCCCATTAATACATTTCTCAGCAGGGAGTAGTTATTTCATAGATACTCCGTGAATGGAACAGGCTCTATCAAGAGTCAGCACACTTCCTCTGTTAAAAAACTAGTTGGTAAATCTTTCAGATTTTGTAGGCATATGGTCTCTGTCGCTACTGCTCCACACTGCAACGCAAAAGCAGCAGCAGACAACCCATCCACAAATGGGTGTGGCTGTGTTCCAATAAATCTTTATTTACAAAAACAGGCAATAGATCGGACTTAGCCTGCAGGCTTGTGTTTGCCAAACTCTTGAACCGCATCAACTTTCAGAAACATCTTGATGTCAAAAACATTATTTTAAAACTTCCTTTCAGAACCAGGGTCCTGATGACTCTTAATGAACACATACATCCAGGAACCTTTGTCCCTCTTCTTCCAATGTCCTCTGATAAACACCGACTGGCAGAGAGGACATGGAGCATTTATCCTTCGACTGCAGTTATTCTGGAAGACAAAGCAAGGGCAGAGATTAAAACCAGCCCCCCGGTCTTTGTGCCATACCCAGCATATCAAGTGCCCCTCTTCAAATTGTACTGAGTTCACTGTCTACCTAATGGAGAAAATAGAACCATTCTTTCACTTAATAGTCTTTTAGTAAGGGTATGGGGGTAGGGGTGGGAGGGGAGGCCAGGTTTACTAAAGGCCCTTATAAAATGCCGGCTGAAAGGAATAATGCTCCTTGGCACCACAGAATCTTTTTCATGTGAAGCTACATGATCACTTTTCATTTTGTTTCTCAAGCACCCCATGGCACCCATCCATGTATTAGGCTAATAACTGCATGAATCTAGTTAAAAGGAACCAAGCAATTATTTTAATTAGAAGAGAACAAAAGTAACACTCCTGGATTCTGTCTTAAGGGGGCAAGAAGGAAGTAGTCGGGGTTCAAAAAGATCCCACAAAATATTTTTGTGAAAGGAAAAATAATTAAGGCCAAATTTAGAATGTACTTGCAATAAATGGGCCAAATAAAATGAATGGCACCACTGTGCAACTAAAACCCATTCATATATAAGAGCCCCAGAAAGTCTATTTTTATGTGATACCATTTTGAGGGTACAGCCAATTTTACAAAGTGAAAGTGAATGTCTAGTAGAGACTTTAATGATCCTTGTGAATCTCTTACACAACTTCTTATAGGGTTTCTGTGTAAACTCTTTTATTAATAAGAGAAAAGGGGAAGGATATTGGTCAATTTGCCTTTTAAGGAGGATTATTTTTCTCATTTAAATTCTTGGAGTAAGGTGTCCAAATTTGTTTCTCTAGAAAAGAAAAAATCTATCTTTATAGAAAATCCTTGTTACTAATCCATTCTACAAAAAGTGAATCCCATCGTAAGGGTTTTAATCATTTGAACCGAACTGTCATTCAGGAAGAGATTGGTATCTGCAGATTTTCCGTAGTCTTTGCCTTCCTTCCTCCCTTCTGGTCACAGCATTTGGGCCGTGTCACTCCCTCTCAGGCTTCCAAAAAAAAAGATGAAATGAAACCCAAACTAGTCAACTCCTAAGTGTTGCTCCTTCCGTTTAAGTCTGTACATGTTTTATTGAACACCTGTTATCCTTGAGTACACAGCAAGTTATAGATGTAGGTATGACCAAGATCTGAACCAGCCTTCAAGAAGTTCAGAATCTAATCATCAGACACAGAGGCATGGAGGCAAAGGAGACCATGCCACCCCAGCTGGGTGGGATGGAGGGTCTCTGGCCTGAGTTGATTGTTAAAGAATGTATTGCCCAGGAGAAAGACATGGAGAGTCCCTTCCCAGGGGAAAGATCAGCATACAAAAAGCTGAGACATAAAGAACCCCAGAGGAAACACTGGGGACTGCAAGCAGATAGAGTTACTAGAGTGTGCAGCAGAGACCCAGGAGGAGCAAGAGAGCTGCCGGAAAGGTAAGCGAGAGCCAGGTGGTGGGAGAATTCGTGTTTCATGTTTAAGAGCCTGGACTGCCTCTCATAAAACAATAGAGAGCCACCAAGCAGTTTTCAACAGAGACTATCATGGCCAGCTGCCCATTCTAGAGTGAGCACTTGGATGGCTGGGAAGGGGATGAAATGGACACTAAGTGTCCCACAAATGCCATAGCCCAAGCAAGAGGTGGTAAGGCCTTGTACTATGGAGAGATGGAGATAGTACTGAAGGGGATTTGAGTTAAAGAAAAAAAAAAAACCCACTCTATGGAACAATACCTGAAGGGTCAAAGTGGATGAAGTTGGCTTTGAAGTTTCTCAGTGGGGAGCAGGTGTTTTATCTGAGTGCTTGTCATGTATGTCCAGAAAGCTTCTCATCTTACAAGTCCTCCTTTAAATCCAGGATGAGCCCTGATCATGGTTCCAGGATTGAGATGCAGTAACAAATGTCAGCCTTGGGCACACAAGCAGATTGTGAGTCCCGGAAGGTAGTGTAACTTCCCTTCTCTTCCCCAGGCAAACACAGAAACCAGTCTCCTGCCACAAGTCTCCATTAAAATTCATTTCCGAAGCCTGGAATGAAAGAAATTGTAATGAATACTTACAGTGCTGGTTACTTTTATGTGTCAGCTTGACTGGGCCAAGGGACACCCAGATCACTGGTAAAACATCATTTCTGGAAGTGTCTGTGAAAGTGTTTCAGGAAGGGATTAGATTTTGAACCAGTAGATGACTAAGGAAGAACACCCTCACCAAAGCAGTGGGCATCATCCAATCCATTGAGGGCCTGAATAGAACATAAAGTCAGACCAAGGGTGAGTTTTCTCTATGCCTCAGCTGAAACATCTATCTTCTCCTGCCCTCAGGCTTCAGAGCTTCTGGTTCTTGGGCCTTCAGAATCCACCTAGAATTTACACAATTGCTCCCCACAAACGCTCTGTGATTCTGAGGTCTTCAGACTTGAAGTGAGTTATGTGACCAGCTTTCCTGGGTCTCCAGCTTGCAGAGAGCGGACTGTGGAACTTCTTGGCCTCCATAATTGTGCTAGTCAGTTCCTATAATGAATAAATACACACACACATGCTTACACTTGGTTCTGCTTCTCTGGAGAACCTTGACTAATAATATACTTAAGGCAAACTACATATATTTTAAATAACTATATTAGATTAGACTTATTTATGTTTTAATGTATTAAATAAGATACAGAGGACACTTCTCCAACTCATTTTATGAGCCAGCTAAACCTTGATAACTCACCTGACAAGGATATTACACTAAAAGAAAGCTACACGTGAATTTCATGCATATGCCTTGTTGTAAAAACTATCAAAACACGCTGCAATACTTCAAATAATAATATAGCATAACTAGGTTGGGTTTAGTCCAGAAATGGAAGATTGGTTTAACATTAAAAACCTATTAAATAACTCACCGTACTAACAGAATAAAGTGTGTGGGGGGGGGTGTCTACAGGATCATTCTATAAATAAGTACCTAATTTATGACAAATATATCCCTTCAGAGGCCTGGAGAAAAAACTCTTTTTCATTCATGGTATGGGGTAAGTAGATATTGTGGAGAAAAAAAACAAATTTGATCCCAACTTCACACCATATGCAAAAAATCAATGACATATGGATTATAACTCTGAATACGAAAGGTAAAACAATAAAGCTTCTAGAAGACAAAATGAAAGGATATTTTTCATGGCCTTGGGATAAGCAAAGCTCTCTTGAATAAGACACAGAAAGCACTAGCTACAAAGGAAAATGTTGCAAAATTAGGCTACATAAAAATCAAAATGTTCTATCCACCCAAAGATAGCATAAAGGGAGTAAAAAGTCAAATTCATAGTGGTATATGATATTTGCAATATATAAATCAAAAAAGGATCCTATCCTTCGGGCATCTGGGTTGCTCAGTCAGGTAAGCATCCAGCTCTTGGTTTTGGCTCAGGTCATGATCTCAGGATCGTGAAATAGAGCCCTGCATTGGGCTCTACTCTGGGCATGGAGCCTGCTTTGGATTCTCTCTCTCCCTCTTATCCTTACCCCCTTGCCCCTACATACACATTCTCGCTCTTTCTCTCTTAAAAAAAAGGATCACATCCAAAATATATAAATATTTCCTACAAGACAATAAGAAAAGATGATCAGTGCATTGGAAACATTAGCAAGACCCTTGAAAAGTCCATTCACAAAATATCCAAATGGCCAATGTACATGAAAAGATGCTCAACTTCTTAATAATCTGGGGAATCAAAACCATAATGAGATTCAACTACATATCACCAGAATGACCAAAATTAAAAAGATGAAGAATACCAAATGTTAACAAGCATTCTCTCTCACCCACTGCTGGTGGGGCTAGAAACTAATACAACCTCTTTGGAAAAGTGACGTCATTAAAGTTCAGCATGGTCATGCCCTACACCTCAGTAACTTCCCTCTTAGTCTACATTCGCAACAGATATGCATCCGCACCCACCAAGATGTGCATGAGCAAGCATATGGCAGTTCTCCGAAATAGCCAAAAATCAACAACAACCCCGATGTGCATCAGGGGCAAAATGGTTAACTGTGGTATATTATTGATACAGTGGAATGAGATAAAACAAGGAGAATATAATTGCACCGCAGCAACACAGACACAGCTCACAGACACTATGCTGAAAGGATGAAACCAGATGCAAAAGAACACTTACCAAAGGAGTCCATTCATATGAAGCTGAGACAAAAACAAAAAAATAAAAAACAGTCAGCAGAGTGGTTATTTTTGAGGAGAAAAGGAGAGTCTCAGCCTAGGGCCAGGCAGGAATGTTGGCTATATTCTCTTTCTTGTCCCAGGAGGTGGTTACAGGACGTGTTCTCTCCAGGAGAACACACTCCGGGATAACACACTGAGTCCCATGCTCTGCTCTTTGTAATCTTCGATAGATGGAACTCCAATAAAGCTTCCCCCAAAAATTTCAAGTGTTGATTTCCATTTTCAGATGCAGTATATGAAAGCACTAAATATTATAGAATATTTTGATCAAAATCCATCAGTGGCTTATTCTCACCTATGTCAGTGTGCCCTCCGGATGTCAGCTACAGAGCAGAAAACAGGAGGAACCAATGAACCACACCTACAATCACAAATCAGCTGGATCGAGAAGAACAGAATGCCTTCCCCTGGAGGAAAAATGAATAAAACCAGGTCCTTGGCAGTTTCGCTAAAAGGTAAGTAGTGTGTGGGGAGAACAAAAAGTTAAAGCCCTAGTATGTAAAATAAAGACACACTGAAGGTCCTCCTGGAAGCTCATACACTGCTAGCCTTCTATACTGCGCGATTAAAAGGTAACAAATTTAGGCTGGCTACAAGGAAATGCTTTCTTAGGAGATGTGTAATTAACCTGTAGCCAATGGTCTACTAAAATCCAACTCCTCTCAAAAAAAATAAATAAATAAAAAAGAAAAGGAAAGAAAGAAAGAAAGAAAGAAAGAAAGAAAGAAAGAAAGAAAGAAAGAAAGATTAGCTATTTATAGCAGCCAAACCAGCATCTGTAGTTTCACTGACTAATATCGTATTACAAAGACTCCCCTGCTTCCAGGCAAAAACTGATAGCCAGCCAGGGTCAGGAAGAAAATTGCCCCTTTGGTGTAGTATTGCACAGCTCTGTTATCTAATATTGGACAATTCGAGGGGCTGCGCAGTATTCGCACCCCTGTTCAGGGCGCCCGGCTCAGGGATCCAGGATGTGGCCCTGAAACAGGCTATTGTTTTAGTTCTGGATGGCAACACCTGTAGAGCTGTATTTAGGCAACACCTTGTGTTTCCAAAAGGTAAACACAATGAATATAATCAAAATTGTTTCAACACTACTGTTTTTACATCAACAATCTATAAATATATGGAAGAACTCAATATACGTGTGAAATAAACAGAGCACGCATACCTACACCAAGGTAATTCCGAAGACAGCTCTATAATTTAACAGCTGGGATTGCAATTGTTGCGTTTTTAGGTACGAAAAACACAGATATTATTCATCAAAGTGATTGTCCTGCGCACTTGTATACCTTATATAATTTATTTTTTCAGGGCTTTTTACTTCAAAGGAATCACTAGCTAATGACATTTCAGACTTAAGAAATTTTTCTGATAGCATGCTGGAATTCCCTCAGGGACAGGATTGTGAATAAGTGGATTTTTTTAAAGATCATTAACAGATATTACAAACCAATTCAAACTGAGCGTTTTCTTTGCAAATTACCTTTAACTTTTAAAGCCATTGAAAAAAAAGACAGTGAGTGATTTAATTTACTTAACCTGTCTACAAATTGCAGCTTTGTGCTACATCGGTGACTGCATTTCCAACCAAAAAATATCTCTAACTATCTCTAATAGAGATATTTTTCTAAATTATCGCACTCGATGAGTGATATTTCAAAAGATAGTAATTTTTTTTTCATTTAGCAAGTTGCCTGGAATTGAGAATTTTATTTTATTGATATGTTTAAAGTAAAAACAGAGCCCGGCACTGTCTATATCTGTTACTTAATTAAAACTCTCGGGTAATTAGCAGGTTTATCATTTCCTGAGAGAATGGATATGGTGGAGCTTTGGAGATAGATTCTGGGTTTTTTTTTGGGGGGGGGGAGCTGATTTTTCTATTTAATGATCAAACCATAGTTTCTGGGCTAAAGAGCTAATATTTGGTGTGAGAAGCACCTTTATTCCCCCACGTACATCAGGTCTGATGCTTATTTGCATCAACACCCCGTTGTGTATGTTTTCCATTCAAAGAGCTCCCGGGGACTTCAAAGGGAGTTGCCTGCAAGGACAGTCTACGTGGGAGTCCTGAAAGACTCCAGAACAGGCCCAGAGCAGGGAGAAACCATGCCAAGACTAGCTCACACTGGAGCCCCCAAACCATGTCACAAAATTAAAGGGTCTCCCCTGCCTACGCCATCCCACAGCGCACGTGGGAAATGTCCCCAGGCTTGCCAAGCACTGCGCTGGCTTCTCGGGCTACTACTTATAAATATTTGATGAGTAGCGTCCCATTTATAAGAAAGTATGTTAATAAGAATATTCTTTGAAATTGGAGTCCAATGCAGGTTTTAAAAAGGCTCATTGTTTGAGGTACTACAGATTTCCTTCTTTTCCCTTTTAAAGTGCAAAGTCAGCTTACCACAAACCCAACTACAACAACAAGAAAACTAACATCCTTTCGGACGTCCCGTCAATAACAAAAACAAAAAAGAAATGGGTAAGGTTCTATTCTAAAGGATGGTCTATTTTTTTGGACGGATTCGTGGATTTTTTGCAGGTAAAGGAACAAAGAAACTAATATTCCTTGAGCGTCTCTTGTGTGCCAGATGTTCTAATTCTTCTCTTTTAATCCACACCAATATATATTACCCCCATTTTAAAAATGGAAAATGAGCCACACAGAGATCGGACAGTAGGGTGTCTATTCCAAAGTCCCACAACGGTTGAGTGCAGAGAGGGTCTGGAAACCAGATCTACCCAACCTCAAAGTCCATGTCTGGTCTCTACCTCACACTAACTCCAGGTGCC